CAGGAGGCCACGGACGCTCTGCAGCTCAGCCTCAAGCAGAACCTCCACGCCAGGGTCTCGGGTGAGTGGTGGGGCAGGGGCTGCTGTGAGGGGTCTCCTCGTCACTACCACCACCATCTCCCGACCCCGCAAGGATTTCTGTACTCCGCAACAAATTGTCAGGGTGCCGTGGGAAAGAGCGAGTTGAGTTCTTGCAGTTTCAGTGTTTAAAGCAGGAGGGAATTGCTGGTGTGTATTAAACAGAAAAGGTCACATGGAGCTGTGCAGAGCAGCCCAAAAAGAGCTGTGGCCATCCCCACTGGTGTGCGTGCAATGGTTGGCGTTTGCTGCTTGGGTTGGGGCTTACACCAAACCGTGGCAAAGACTCCTCACATCTGCAGCTGGTTTTACATTATTGCTCTTCTGGACAGAAAGTCTAGAGAAAAAAATGTAGAAAGTAAAAATACCTTAAAAGACAAGTCGAAGGGGAAGATAATGTAGACCATAATTTTTACTGCAGGTTGACTTCCCAACTGTGCCAGTTGGCTCACGATCTCTATTGGCTTCAGCTGTCTCCCAGTCTTAAATTTTGAGTTGTCTTGCAACAATTTCATATGAAGTTGTCAAATTTTATGCTTAATTGTTAAAAAATAACTTGTTAGAAAATGGGAATGAACTGTTGGAAGGCATGGTTGTTAACAGGTGGTTTTGTCATTTTTCTCACCACAGATTGATAGGCCATTATTCCCTATTAGGAAATTTGTAGTAGCCTTGAAGTCTAGTAAGCATGGAATGCAGGTTTGGGGGCTGAAATGTGTGTTTTGCCTGTGGTGGGAAACTGGGTCAGCAGTGGCACAGTTCCTTCTGGTCATTTCTGATCACAACTATTGGGAGCACTAGTCTGCAAAGCCAAGAGCTGGCAACTTGTGTTTCCCTCCCCTGCCCTGTCCTTGTGTGAATGATGGTCATTCAGTCTTTTGGCAGCTTGGACTAGGATAAATCACAGTTGTTAAATAGGCCTGTGTTTCATCCCAGTGACTTTAATTTAAATATCAGAAATATAGTTGGCCTGTGGCTCTCTTAATGCTATTTTTTAAGGTTTTTAGGGGGGAAAAAAGAGAGGCTTGCTACATGTTTAGGTGTTAAGGAGCTTGTACACAACTGCTGAGCATGTGGTGTAACAGGATGACCTTGTGTTGTACCAAAATTTGACA